TCTATCAATAAGTGTTGAATGATTTTGGGAGAATGCTTACTGATTTTAGAGGTGACTTTTTGAATTTGAATTAATGTTAAAATTAGTATTAAATAAAACATACTTAAAGCATTTGACATATGAAGCACCATTTTATGTGTATGGCTTTTACTTCTGTGTTTATCTCAGTGTAGCTATGTTTAGTTCCCCACGTCTGTCTTTCTATGCCTTGGTAATTTGTAAGGTCCATTAAACTCCTCACTTTGGGAAGACCTTACAGCTTATATTTCCTCATTGAAAAGTACCAAAATATAAATAATTTTTGTTCAGAACTGCAGATGATGTTATATTATTTCTTAGCATTGATTACACCTATGCCTAGATTTCCTTGCCCTTTACTTGTGTTTACACTGTGGATCTAATTTGCAATGTAACAATTTTGATAGTTGTATTAACAGAGAACACTCTCTTGTGTGACCCAGATGTTTCTCATACACACCTTTAGAGGAATGGAATGTACTATTCTCCTGTCAATAGTTTTGTACTGCTGTGTAGCCCTCTGTGCACCACTCCATCATACAACCATGCGATAGCCTGAGTGCTGTCAGGAATTGGACTGGGTGTTGTACTGAGTGCATTTGTGCTCACACTGCCCAAGACCTACTCAATCTACCATCTGCACTTTTGTGATGCCTACATTATTGCCCACATCAACTGCGAGCACATGGGTATTGTCAAGTTGGCTTGTGACAATGTTTGAATCAATGCCATCTAGGGTTTCTTTGTTGCTTCCTTCCTTGCTGGCACTGTCTGGTACCTTCTATGGTTACATTGTCAGTGCTGTATTCCATCTCTAATCGGAAAATGCCTGTCACAATATGCTGAGCTCTTGGGGCTCCCATGCTCTAGTCATGTTTGTGTTGTATGGACCATCTGTCCTCCCCTTTCATTTGGTACAAATATACTGTATTAATGTAAGTTGTTAATAATAGGGGACACAGTGCAAGGTACATGGGAATTCTATACTATCTTCCAATTATTCTCTGGATCTAAATTTTTAAAAAATGGAGTTCATCTAAAAAGTAAAAAAAAAAAATACAGGATTTAGAAATTTCAGGGTTTTTTTTTGATAATGAACATGTAATTTAGCCAACACTGTCTTAGAACAATTTAAACAGCTGTATAACATTAGAAATTAAAATAACATTTGAAGGAATCAGAGAGTTCTCAAGGCTTTCAAGGAATTAAGAAAACAAGGTAAAAGAGAAAACAGAACTTAAAAGGATGGCTTGACACTTGTGGTCACTTTTTCTTTAAAAACACCTATTGGCTCAACTTAAGAAGTGGAACTCAAGAATTTGCTTTGCCAGTTGGACAATGTTCTACTGGAATTTGAAATTTCAGGTACATTGACAGTGACCTAGTTAATGCCAAGGAGTGAGTTCTCCTTCTGTATGAGCTTTTTGTGTGTAATAAAGTAAAAAGAAAAGTAAGACAATAATAAACATCAAAGTCAAGATAGTAATAATTATAGTTGATGAGGAAGTGAGAAATGTGTGTATAGCATACTTCAATTTTAATCTGTCTTATTATTTGTGCTGAACACTGAGTACACAACTTTCTGTTTATATTATTTCCTTGTTTAAAATATTATATAATGAGAACTATTAAATACAACCACAAAGAAATCTGAAATTATTTATAAATCTGGTAGATGATGAAGATTATGAAAGCTCTGATATGCTAAGTGGAGAAGGCAACAGAGAATTACTTGGTGCGACCTCAAACTGCATTTGTCTATTTTTGATTCTGTGAAGAAACATAAGAGTCTTATTGTGAAATAAAGTAAATGGGCATTATTCACAAAGCTGGTGGCATTTTCTGTTTATTATTAACATTTACTACATACTTATTATGTAAATTGCATACTAACTGGCAACTGTATGTTATCCTTCATTTAAGCTTTACATAAACCATTTCAGGTATATTGTATTTTATGCCCCCTCTTTGTATAAGAATATTATATCTTAATGAGATTAAGTGGCATGCTCAACATAGCACAGGTAGTAAGTGGATGAGTCATCATGGGGATACAGGCAATTAGAATTTACTGTATTTGGGTTCAATCACATTAGTAAACTCTCTTTGAGGAGGTTAAGAGTTCTTATGTGTGCAATGGCCTATCTTCTAGACAAGGAGTATAGTTGGTATACGTAGGCTGAGGCTACATCACTGATTCTGAATTGTTGACCTCCTTATCCCTAGAGGAGGACAGACACCCCAGTGGATGACCTCTGGGTCCTTCTGTCCTTTACAAATGTGGCTCTAGGGAATTCATGAGTCTTTCCTTTGGGGAGCATGATATAAAGGATAAAAGTCCATTACTGTGTAGGTACATAGGTTCAGAATCGCTTATGGTACACAGTGTGCTAAGTCTACTACCCACTTTTCCAGCCCACAGATAGCATGACAGCTAGCAGAGAAGAAAGAAAAAAATAGGAGTGTCATAAAGCTGAGGTGAGCAGGGACTGAGATTGGGTTCATGACATGAAAGAAGTTCTGTATTTATACATTCTAGCAAAAATATCATTGATAAATCTTGTTTACATTTTTATGTTTTTCATCATTGTAAGGTTGGATGTTTTATCTTGGGGATATTTATTCATTGTTTTCTATCAGGGTGAGGTACAAAAACAAAGTAAAATAAACTGTAAATATGTCCTCTCACATCCCAAGGTTAAGAAAATTATAAGTAAAAGATGTTAAAAACACAATAGAAATAGTCTGGTGCACTTCTAAGCACTATTTTTGCAGAGAGCAAGTCAAAATCAACCCCATACTCAAAAATAATATTGTGCTGTATAAACAGATTACAGCATATGTGGACCCTATGGGAAGAAAAACTGTGATCAGTCTCCAGAAATTACAAGATTTTGTTAATGTATTTCCATGTGTAGCATTGGTACATACCACTCTATCTTTTAGAGTCCAGAATTTTCAGAGAGTTTAATTAGCATTAAAGAGCTCACTGTCTAAAAATTAGATTAAACAACAGGTAAATGTAATTTCAAATAATTTTGTAAAATACCATTCCATAGATAATAGTTGTGTAGAAGAGAGATTATTCTGTCACTATTTCTTCCTGCAGCTACAAATTTGAAAGATATTTACTTTCTCTCTTCTTCTATCAGACAGATTCTAACTCTGAGTCTTTTTGTATTTCTTTTCTTTTTCTTTCTTTTTTCAAAAAACATTGTCAGCCACTCTAGAATATACCTGTAAGAGATAGGAGTTCCATTTTTACAATTACTCAGTATTCCCCTGAGCTTAGAATAATTTACATTCTCTTAAAAGGCAGGAAAAAAAAATCCCTTAGCAATCATTTGTATAACAACTACTTGTATTAATCTTATCATTTTCCACAGCTTTCATATACTTAATGGAAATATCTTACTGTTCATAGCATCTTATAGCTTTTGTATAAATATATAGTTAGTTATAAAAAAGATAGTTGAGATTAAAAGAGTGAGTTATTAGATAAGAAACAACCTTTGGTTGTCACGTTTGTAATTTTTGTTGTCCAATAGTAATTATGCTTTTAGTTCTCTAACTGCCTGTTTTTATCACTCCATGTTCTTGGCAAGAAGTTCACCTTTTGAAGCAATGGGACACACTCAGTGATGTGTGAAAATGAGGCTAAATTCACTAAATTCACTTCAAACTATGTATAATATCTTACTTTCTTGTCTCTTTCTCCTCCCACACTTTTTATCTCTATTCCCCAATTAAAACATTTTTCAGAATAACTAAGTCTTTCATACTTAAACATCTAAACCAAACCTTCCTATTGGCATGGAGAGACTCTTTTCCCTGGGTATTCCTAACTTTTAATTCTAGGCCAATATTTACTTAATCCAACAAATCTTTCACATCTAACTGGTGTTAGTCATAATGGAATTATAAATCAATAAATATTAGATGAAAGGATATATGCTTTACCTGGTTGTTCACTGTAATGAATGAGTACTGTAAAGATTGGGGACACTTAAGTAGTTCCAAGTGGGTTGGTCATTATGAGACCTAGAATGTTCTTTATAGTCAAATGTAATTTTTATTTTCTGTATTTTGTCTCCTCTGTAATACTTTGGTTAATTGATTAGTATTTTTGAACCACTGGTCACTAAAATGCACATATTAATAAATTAATATATTATTAACATTGTGTGCCATGTGAGTTTGCATGTAACCTACTTTGAAGATCAGTACATTAAAACCCCTGAAGATCATCATTCAAAGATGACAAATTTAAACATTTTCCAATCCAAAGTGATTTTTAAAAATTTCTGAGCTCTTTTTGGCGTATTAAAAATATAAGCATGAAAGAGAAACAATAACTTTTGCCTGTGTGTTATTGTGTTATGTGTGTTTTTGGTCAGGATTTTTAAGTCACCAATAGGCATCAGTTGTCATTAGTACATATTTGGGCAGCTCATAGAGAGTGTTAGCAAGTACTAAAGAATATTGTGGTCCTGATTAATAATCTGTTAAGTGGGAAAGAAGCAGAAACAAGTTGATGATGAGGGTAATGAATGGTGTGTGTGTGTAAAATTCTATTCATTCATTCATTACCCTTTAATTATGTGTGTATATATACATATATGTCTATGTACGTATAGTATATATAGCATATATAAATAAGCACATACATAAATAAATGCATACAATAAACAATGATTGCATAGAGTAAATCTTGCATAGAGTAAATGAAATGCATTATAAAACAAATATTTGGAGTAATAAAATTAATGAAGTTTTATGTAACTGAATTCCAATTATAAAAGTTTTACTAAAAAGATTTCACTTATTCTGAAAAGAAAACTATTGATAAGGTTATCCATGAGATAAATAGTTAAGATATCTTTTTTTTTTTTGCAGTACTGTTAAACATCATGGTAGCAGACTGGTATCTTCCATTGTGGGTCAACACACATCTGCAATGAACACATTCATAAAAAATCACAAGTGAGATGTCCCTTTCTAACGATACACAGGTCCACCCCTCCTTCTTCCTGCTTTTGGGAATCCCAGGTCTGGAAAACATCCACCTCTGGATTGGCTTTCCTTTTTGTGCTGTGTACCTGATTGCATTCATAGGAAACTTCACCATCTTGTTTGTCATCCAGACTGAGCGCAGCCTCCACCAGCCCATGTTCTACTTTCTGGCTATGCTGGCTACCATTGACCTGGGTCTCTCCACAGCCACTGTCCCTAAGATGCTGGGCATATTCTGGTTCAGCCTCAGGGAGATTATTTTTAATGCCTGCCTCACTCAGATGTTTTTTATTCACATCTTTACTGGCATGGAGTCAGTAGTCCTTCTTGCTATGGCTTATGACCGCTATGTAGCTATCTGTAACCCTCTCCATTATAGCACAATCCTTACTAACAAGGTAGTATCTCTTATTGGTTTGGGGGTGGTTGGGAGATCTTTCCTTGCTGTTTTCCCTTTTATATTTCTCATCATGAGATTGCCCTTCTGTGGACACCATGTCATTCCCCACACATACTGTGAGCATATGGGTCTTGCTCGCCTGGCCTGTGCAAGCATCAGGATTAACATCCTATATGGTTTGGGGACCATTGCTCTCTTGGGACTTGACATCATGGCCATTGCACTCTCATACATCTACATTCTCTGTGCTGTTTTCCGTCTCCCCTCCCGTGAGGCCAGGTTCAAGTCTCTCAGCACCTGTGGTTCCCATGTTTGTGTAATTTTGGCCTTTTATACCCCAGCTTTTTTTTCTTTCATGACACACCGCTTTGGCCAAAATGTTCCCCGCTATATTCACATCCTTCTGGCTAATATGTATGTAGTTATTCCACCAATGCTCAACCCTATCATCTATGGAGTTAGAACCAAGCAGATCCGTGAAAGGGCTCTCAGAATATTTATCCATCAATAAATAGAGTATGAGTACCTCCAGTTTTTGCCCACATGATTAATTGTTAATATGTATGCATCTAAAGAATGGGAAGAGGCTTTGAAAAGAAAATGATCACTTAATGGGAAGGATGTTGATGTCTTTTTTTGTGTATTTCATCTATTCAGGGACCAAGAATAAAAGCTTTTAATTTTAAACACTACTAAGTTGGATGAACAACGATTCTATGTGATTATTTTGAAGAATAACTTAAGTGTCTTAAATTAGGTTATGATTCTCAAAGATATAAGTGGCCAAGATTCAGGAGACATTTTTCCACTTTCACTATCAGTAATAGGTACTGCTTCTTCCTTCACCTTCTTTCTCCCTTGCTTCCTCTCTTGTATCCCTTCTTTCTTTCCCTCCTACTTCAATTTCTTCTGTTACTCATCTTTTCTCTCTCTCCTTCTAGTATTTTTTTCTGTCAGCCTATTTCAGTGTAGCTTACTATAGCTTTCTCAACCTGCCCTGTCCCTCCTTTCATATCCTTGTTCATACTCTGTCCCATTTACTTTCAAAGTATAAACAACTTTTTTTCCTTATTGATTTAATTGAGTGGTTGAGTGGTTGAGTTAATGGATTACTTTACCTAATGAAGAAACCAAATTACATCCCAAGAGCATGCCAGAGAACTAGAGTGAAGTGAAGGTGGATGAAAGCATTTAAAAATAAATTGATCAAAGAGCTACATCAGGAAGAATTAGAAACAAAGAAGTACAGGTAAAAGCAAGAGGCCAGGGAACTAAGCACAAATAAAATTTATTCTTATATCTACTTGAAATTTAATATGTTTAAAACTAAATACAAAGCCCTGGCTGGCATAGCTCAGTGGATTGAGCGTGGTCTGTGAACCAAAGTGTCGCAGGTTCGATTCCCAGTCAGGGTACATGCCTAGGTTGCAGGCCATGACTCCCAGCAACCACACATTGATGTTTCTCTCTCTCTCTCTATCTCCTTCCCTTCCCTCTCTAAAAATAAATAAATAAAATCTTAAAAGAAAAACTAAATACATAATCATCTCATTAAAATATTTTCTATATGGTTTATGGAAGCACTATTTGTTTGCATACAATTCAGTCACAACAAATGTCTCTATTTTAAGAACAATTTTTTTTTAATCAGAGCATTGCGTCTTACATATAAGGCAACTAATGCCCTAGTATCTCAAAATTCTTTACAAAAGGAGATAGCTTAATGAGTTCTAGTTTAGGGTTTTGTTTTGTTTTTTAAATGCAAATTTCATTTATCCTCTTTTTCTTTTCATCTGCTTCCATTTTAAACTTAACTTCTTCAGCTGCAAGTAGCTCCCACATTTTTATGCTTTGCCCTCTTCATCTTTTCCTCAATGGCAGCCACATCAATTTCAGTTTCAGAAGAAGCTTCCTCAGTTTTTACACCTAGTTTTTCTGTAGGTAGAATCAAAGCCCTGTTTTCCCCCTCTTGTCTCTTATTGAGAGCTTCTGCTCATTTAACCTTTACTGCTTTCATTCCTGTCACCTTCTTTTGACTTGCCTTCAGAAAGTATTTACCACCAGCCAATTCTTTATCAATCTGACTTTCTGGCTATGGTAGGGGGAATGGTGTATACTCTTTAAGAACAATCTTTTAATTGCCTGGTCTTCGCACACTTTGGTTGTAAAAGTAATTTGCCTTCCAAAATCAACTGTGTGTCAAGAAAACATAGAATTTCTGCAAAGATATATGTTGAGAGTGAAGTATGTAGAGCTACAAAATACCACTACATCACTGAATAAGAGGAGACTATTTCTATTCAGGGAATCAATACATGTTCAGATATCATGTATAAGTTAACCATTTGTATGGACTCCTAGGACTACTTTTTTGTTAGGTACACAAAGGCATTTCAAGAAGAGAAAACAATATGCATGAGGGTGATGAGAGAAATTTTATAAAAACTTGTTTTTGCACATTCACATACAAGGTGGAACAGTGCAGTTAATACAGAGATAGAAAGAACCAAAACCAGCAGGGTAAGATTAACATAGATCATGTACCATCTATTTTCTACGTGAAAGGGTTTGCTATTTAACTCATAATAACTAACTCTGCAACACTAGAAGTTTTCTCATGTGCAAGCTGGGAACAAATTATATTTGTTATGTGGAAAAGAGATAACCAGGATGTATAACATGGACTTAAGTTGTAAAAGAATATTATTTTATAGTTTCACAGACCACTGCTATTTTTGGACCTGATTGAACATTGTTGCTTTCACATTATTCTCAACTTTAACTGGAAATCTATTTCTGCTGTATTTTTAGTTAAAATTATAAGAAGATGCTCTAATAAGTTTCAATGATATACTTTGAACATTATTGGTAATTGGATTTTATTATATGTTATATATGTCATGTATTATAAGAATAAGAGAGTGTCATCCACAAATTTAGTTATGGGAATCAAAACAGTATATTTAAAATCAGTATGATCTTAAATATAAAATTAATAATAAATAAATTATTCAAAATCATAAAATAGCTAATGATTCTAAAGCTCTTATTGTGTATCAAGCATAGTTTTATGTACTTTACATATATTATTTGATTTCATTATCACAGCATTCCTCCAGCATAGGTGCTATTTTTATCCTCTAACTGTTGAGGAAAAAGAGACATACAAATATAAAGTATTGATAGGTCACTTCATGCAGTAGTAACACATGGAGCCTGAATTCCACAGTTTGATTTTTATACTCTGTTACAATGTAATAATATGTATAACCTTTAATAAGTTGTGGCAGACTCTGGCCCACAGAGTCAGCCTATTGAGACTGAAGACGAAAACAATGCACAGGCTACAGCAATCCTGTGGAGAAAAAGGGACAGCATGGGGTCACTCTTAAGGGGAGAGCACCTCTGAGTGCTTCAGCCACTCTTTCAAGAGGAGAGCGCACTGATCCTTGCCTGGACAGGCTTTTATTGTTTCCCTTGGGTCTTACATTAAAGAAGGATTTATTATCTATTATATAGAATATTATTGTCTACATTTTAGGTACAATCAAGGAGATGAAAATAACAAATGCAGAAGGGAAAGGTGGTGAGCTGATTAGCACCATACTCTGGAAAATTCACACAAGCTTGGGAAATTACCTTGAAGATAGGCAATAAACATCTACTGTTTCAGACCAGGGTGAGGGAGTTTTAGCAAGAGCAAGCCATAACAGTCTGTATGCATTTTTTAGGCCTGATTCCCACAGGAAAATCTGGTTTGAGGGTCAGGCTCCTGCCCACCACCTCGCTTCTGCAGGTTTTCCATACGGGGCTGAGTCACATTTGCCAGACCAAAACAAACTGGTCCTCTACAATGAGTTACTTCAAGATAGTTTACTCATACTGGACTTTTCTCATGATTCAGTGTTAAGTGGAAAAAATGCAAGTTATGAAATTGTGTGCAGTATGAAGAATATCAAAAATGTAATTTTTACATATAAATTTATATGATTTTAAACTATTTATCCCTAGACAGTGAGATTTATTTTTTGAAAGTTTTGTTAATTGTATAAAATTTTCGATGTCAAACATCTATAATATTTGTAATTGTGAAATGTCATTAAGCCATTAAAAACTAAAAGAAGAATAAGAGGAAGTAAAATTGAATACCTACTATTTAATCATTTCTTATGTTTCCATGTTTAAACCTAACTTATAAATAAAAGCTTATTATTGACAAGGTTTCTAACTACATGTAGCAATCCTGTATTTCCTTATAAGTACTGATCATTACGATTCTATTTCTAACATCTTAAGAAAAATAAAACATGGATCCATCCTTTATCCATCTCTTTCTCTCACAATCCACATCTAAACTATCAGTCAATTGCACTTACTCTCCATTAAAATTATATGTAAAATCTGAGCATTTCTTGAGATAATCCAAGTTTTTCATCTAATTATTAAAATTCAAATTATAACATCTCTAAAAGAAATAATAAGGTGATAAGTTGAGACCTTGGGGCAGAAAATGTTTCTTAAACAGGACACATAAAAGAAAACACCTTGGATTTTATCTCAAAAGTCAAATATTTCATTCTGTAAGGAAACTATTAAAGATGAAAGGGCAAACCACAGACAGAGAGAAAATATTTATAATATGTAGTTCGAACAAAGATCATGTAAGCAAACCAAATATATTCTATGAGTCAATTATTAAGAGATGAAAATAAAATATAAATGAGTGGGCAAAGAACTTGAACATGTACTCATAAAAAGATACATAATATCCAATAAACACAAAAATGCCTAGAAATTTTAATCATAGGATGATAATTGGTAGGCACAAAATAGACATTCATGGGGATGTTAAGAATAGTATAGGAAATGAAGAAGCCAAAGAGCTTGTATATACAACTCATAGACATGAACTAAGACGGGTGGAGTGCTGGAGGGAATGTAGATAATGGGTGGAGGGGGACAAAGGGGGAAAATTTGGGACAACTGTAATAGCATAATCAATATATTATAATCAATTAGCATAATCAAATCAATTAGCATACAATAAAAAATAGCATAATCAATTAAAAATGAAAATGCAAGTTAACTCTAATAAAATGCCTTTTCATGCTTCAGTAGGTTGGCATACACACAAATAAATGACAAAATGAAGTGATGACAGTACAAAATGATATACAATAGAGAACAACTGGAAATCTCAAATTGATGATGGGGGTGAAAAATATTATAATGTGAAATATACATTTTGCTACCCCTGTCTTATGACTTAAAAGTTCTATGTTTTAGTCACTTAGCCAAGAGAAATGGAAACATTTATGCACAGAAAAGACAATATTAAAATATTTATGGCAAATTAATTCACAGTACTGCCAAAGGAGAAACAATCCAAATGCACTTACTTCAGCTCTACAATGGATAAACACATTGTGGTATGTTCATACAATGAAATAATACTCCATGAAAAAAAATAGAACTACTGTGTACACTACAAAATAATGAATATAAGAACAT